AGAGAACTCGAAAGAGAAGCCGCTCGCCAAGCTTTATTGAAGGTAAATAGCAAACATGACTTGCATTACATTGGAAACACTCGATAAAGAGAAACATTGGAGAGTACTTTGGCTGATGATTTTAACTTATGCATCTTTGACTTCCCTGCAGATGGAGAAAACTGTAGAGATCAACGAGAACTCACGGTTTCTAGAGGACCTAGAGATGCTGAGTTCAAGTGCACCTGAGCAATTACCAAGCTCAGCTGATGAAACCAGCCCTGAGAGACCTTTAGATGCACTTGGTAGTTTCAACCTCAGAGGAAGTAACCCTCTCGAGCAACTCGGACTGTACATGAAACAAGATGATGATGAAGAGGAACCCGAGGCTCCTGCTGTTCCAAACCTAACCAACGATGTGGAAGAAGGTGAAATCGATTGAACAAAAAAAGTGTATGTAGACAATATATACAACGTATAAAGACAATAGCCAGGGCAGGTACACGTAAGCAACACACACACACAAGAAATGAAGGTTTATGCCCGTTAAGAAAAGGTCCAATCTTTGGCTCATTGTTATATGAGTTTTGGAATGGATCTTTTTTAAGCCAGTGTGGTGTTTGTATATTGTTAAACACGAAGCAAACGCTTAAAGCTTTTTTTGCCACGAGACTTCATGAAGAGTCTTTAGTGTATTATTAAAAAAAAAAATACTAGTAAAGACCATTGTGTGTGTAAGAACCTATCTTTACATTTTGTTCTTGATAATGTTTCTGTTTGTATGAATATAATTTTTCATCTCTATCCGGTTTAGATAGCCCCACCGAACAGTGGATAATACTATATGAATGATACTCTTTTATTAAGAATAACTTTTTACACACAACAGCATTAAATAAATGAACTAAAAGATAAAGAAAGTAATTAAAGAAAATTAGAAAATGAATACTGGAAATTAAATAGTCACACCCTCGTCAAAACAAAAAACTGGTCTAAATTAATCTTTTTTGTTAGACTAAAATTTAGTTGGAGCCAATATTTTGATACAAGTTTTAAACTAAAAAAAATCAAATTTCAAAATGGAGCCAAAACTCATTTGTTTATCTATATATAATCTCTTCACTAAAAAATGGTTCACAAAAATATTCATGGATTCTAATATTGATTTGAATATTCCAATTCTAAATTCTGAGAGTGAAACTTTGTTCGATCTAAACGAAATTCCACC